AAAAAAAAAAAAAAAAAAAAAAAAAAAGGCCTTCCACAGTTGCACTTCAATGGTCCTCTCCACTAAATCCTTGCAGTTGATGACTACCCTAGTCTCCCAAACGTAATGCCCCATCATTGTGACTGCACTTGGACAGGAACGGGGTTTGCATATGTTAATGACAATGGGGCATTATGTTCAGGACAAGAAGATAGTGCAAAGAACTCAGTTCAAAATCCACACAGACAGTGCAGGGTCGTAACTTTCGGTCCAAGTCTAGATTCAGCGGTCAAAACTCATGTCTCCTGTCCTAGAGGGGTGTGAGAAAAGTCCTTGGGTCGACAGGTGCAGGGTCCGGACTCCAGGGTCAAAAAGGGGAGGCCTGTGCCCCCACGTAAGGTAGTCGACATCAGGAAAATCAGGAGTCAGTCCCAAGTCGGGAGAAGTAGGTCGACAGTCAGAGATTTCTCAGGAGTCCGCCATGACCACAGATCTAATGCACAATCAAAGGGCCTACTGGGTCCAGGGCTCAGTTTGTTGGCAAGGTTCCAGAAAGTTCCTAGGGCCCACTGGGTCCAGGGCCCAGGTACACATTGGCTGACAAATCTGGGCCATCTACATCAAGAAATCACAGCCGCACAAGGAGGCAAACTGAGGCAGGCCAAGGTCAGTCAACACTACAAAAGAATTGCCTGGCCCAGATGGATCATTCATTCTGCCACGCGCTGCTGGAGCTGGACGCTGCTCCTCTCAAGAGAGGAAGGAGGTGCTGGTGTAAGGGAAGGAGAAGACAGTAGCAGCCAGGGAAGAAGACAGAGAGAGTAGCCATAGCTAGGGAGGGCGCCTGAGCACCACAGTTGTAGGATAGAGGCAGGGCGAGGGAAGAAGGTGATGAGGAGTTGTGACGAGGGAGCCAGTTGACGCCAGTGATACCGAAGGTGCGGTTCACACCAGGAGGCTGAAGGAAGGCAGGCGCCAACCTCCATAGCAAAGCTTTGTTGCTGGAGGCTGGGCACACACATCTGGCACCAGCAGAGAGACCTCACCAGTGAAGTCAGGGCGAGGCTGAAGGAAGGCACGCGCCAACCTCCATGCCCAAGCTCTGTAGCTGGAGGTTGGGGACACACATCTGACACCTATCAGGGGTAGTTGCACGCTGAGGTGACGAGTTTTTGGAGAAGAGTCCGGAGGCGAAGGGGAAAACAGAAGAGTCGTTTCAACTGTATTATTGATTAAATTAAAAAATCCACCTCCTCTCTACTGCTTCTCTACCTTTGTCTCACTCCTAATTACTTGCTGATCAGTCCGGAACTTCTTTGAGTGCTTCATTTTAAAAAGAAATAGAGCACATGAGGATTCAAACTCAGGTTTGCATTTCAACAACTCGTGGGTGTACCAACTGAGCTAGGCCAATTGGTGTCTTTGAAAAAGTTTGAAGTTTGAATGCTTCACGATTTCGTCGACATTGTCATTGGTTCCACATTGAGCGTATTGTGACTATTGCATGTTCCTGTTGTTGAGGCTTCTAAACATTGTTCGGTTCATTACAATAGGTTCTGGCATCCCTTGAGTACCTGTCTCAACTCCCCAGGTTTTTTTTTTTTTCGAACCTTTGGTGTTCTTATTTCGAATTTGGCTATAGATTCTAAACTCTACACTCTAATTAAATGAATGAATTAAATAATTTAAATTGAATTTACCATTACGCCTTTTTCCAGCCAGGTCCTGTATCTACCCTCTTTTCTCGATTAAATTCCAAGCCCTGTTGTCTGCACCTACTAATCGGGCATTTGGAAATGAAGCCGGTCTCAGCACTTCTTCCCTCTTTGTTGGGCTCCGTATTGACATCTGTAAAATGCCTGCCTGAGGCTGCCTCCATAATTTTTTCAAGAAGGATAACAGCTCGGTGGTTGCCGTTCTGTTTGCTGTTCTGTTCCATTTGCTGTTGCTGTTTAGTTTGCCCTTGCTATTCTTTTTGCTGTTTCGTTTGCTCTTGCTATTTCTTTTGCTGTCCCGTTTGCAAGTCCCTTTTGCTTTCCTGTTTGCTGTCCCGTTTGCTGTCCCATCTGCTGTCCCGTTTGCTGTCCCGTTTGCTGTCCTGTTGCTGTACTGTTTGCTGTACTGTTTGCTGCGCCGTTTGCTGTTCCGTTTACTCTTCCGCTTGTTCCTTGGAATCCAAGAGGCGTGAATATAACCCACAACAGAACTCTGCATATTCATTGATGTTTCGAGAGGGACTGACGACCTTCTTCCCTGAACATAACGCCTAGGCGGTATATTCGGATTTGGAAAGAGAAAGAGCAGGCTTCCTTGTAACCAAGGTAGACCAAGTGGATACTGGTGGTTAAGGGTAGCTCATCCCCCACCCCCCCTCCTTTCCCTTTAGAAGGAGTACCGCCTTCAGGCATTGCCCTATCGATCGACAACCCTCTATCAGCAATGCCCTTCAATCGCATGACAAATTTCTCAAGCTACTCCCGCTCGCACAGAAATGGATGAGGCAGCAGGTTGATGACAAAGAGAGAGACCAAACGAGACATCAAGACAAGAGACCAGAAGACGGGGAGGGAAAAAATAAAGGGAGGAACAGAGAGACAGAGATGACACAAGCGCCCAGGTGACGATCTGCTATATGCACTTTATGCTGACACTAGAACCAAGGTTAACTGGAACAGCTCAGTTGGTACACGCAGGAACTGTTAAAATACAGACCAGCGTTCGGAATTCTCCAAATCCAGGAGCAATCAGATGAACAGAATAAAATGTTGAGTAGCAGAAAAGGAAAAAGGAGATACCTCCGTGAAGCCATGTCCGTAAACAGTTTCATAAGGGATGACCAGGAGGAGATGTGTGGGAGCCTTGTCCAAGACAAGGTGACTTTTTTTTGGGTAGGGCTTGGATCATTAAAGCAGCTACACTGACAGCTCTGTGGAACGGAGAAGAAAACAGATGGCTTAGTACGGTGGAAGAACTGATAGAAACTCTCAAGGACATCAATGATTTGAGGCAGAAAAGAGCTATGAGAATTACTGCGGTTGTATTTACCCACCTTAATCATGCTGACGCCAGAGCCAATGTTAACTAGCATATAAGGGAAGAGATCTTTTGTGTCAATCTCAACGAATTGTCTTCGACCCTGCAAATGCGTAAATGCTTCATCTCTGATAGTCTGGGGTTGAGGTTGGGGAGGTCAGCAGTTCAAAGCCAATGCACACAATGACACACACAACCACCATACATGTTAGTGACCTGATTGAAATTTTGGGCAAGGAACAAAAATAGAAATCTTGGCTACTCCGGACCTCCCAACTATAATGGGGAGGAGCGTAGTGTGCGCACAATGCGTATTCTCTTGACTTGCCGGTGGAAAAGGATCCGGACTGCCACTCCCCAGAATAGAAGGAGCCTTGTTTCCTAAAAAAAAAAAAAAAAAAAAAAAAAAAATGGTACTCATAAGCCTAGACCAGTAGCAATCTTGCAAACTGCACTCACCTTCAACCATTTGAGAGAAGAGTAGCTCACATTGCAGGTTTTTGAGAGCAAAAACACAGAGGATAGCACCAACCCACAGAAACTTATCCCTCCTGGACGCTTTCTCTCTCGTATCCGCTCTTTTGTGAGTGAACTTAGCAAAGCAGCTGAAGCCCGTTCTGCATTTTTAATAAGTCTATGCTATACCCTAGCATAGCACATCATCTTTAATAAGCCTATACCACACCAGCCTATACTACATCATCTTTAATAAGCCTATACTATACCAGCCTATACTACACAATCTTTTTTAGCCTACACCGCATCATTCCCCTTGAGCCTACATATGTAGCCTCGCCAGCTAGCTAAGTAAAGCCTATACGGCATCTTAAATAAGCCCAACAGCCTATCCTATATAATACACCATCTTTAAACCACCAGCACACGGCCGAGCCTTGCTGAAAAAGAACTCCTCACCTGGTCGCCATCCACGCAGTTCGGGGAAGGCCCGGCAGTGCGACAGAGGCCAAAGCTGGCGGGCCCAATGGAAACAGGCAAATGGACTGCAAGATGTCCTTCTGGTTCCGGCGGTGCATGTGGAAACATGCACTGATGAGAAAAAAAAAAAAAAAAAAAAAAAAAAAAACAAAAAAAAAAAAAAAAAAAAAAAAAAAAAACAGAAACAAAGCATTGACTGACAGATGGCGGGCAGCCAAAAGAAAAAACAAGCAGGCACCCTTTGAAACACGCGCCTTGCCGGTTTTTGGAGACAGGTGGTCTCCAGAAACGAGGCAGGCGCCTGTTTCCACGGGCGCCAGCACCTTCTTTGCTACTTGTTGCTCATGACAGTTGGCACACCCATGAACTGTTAAAATACAGACCCAAATTCGACTTCAGATGCAATTGATGAGCTTACCACAGGCCGTTCAGCAACTCAACGAGCACATGGCCGTTAGCACCCAATGAGATGTGTTTGTTGAGTTGATGAACAGCCTATGGTAAGTTCATCGATTGCATCTGGAGTCGAACTCGGGTTTATATTTCAGCAGTTCATGGGTGTAACAACTGACACGAGCACAATCATCACGGAAGTGAGGAAAACAGAAAAGGGAAAAGCAAAAAAAAAAGGAAAACTGTTCCAGTGACACGCGCTGCTACCACTTCCGAGAACGTATCTGACAGCATGTACACCAAAAAGCCTGGATGAATATGACGACAAAGTCTAACGTGAGTATGCTTTTTTTCCCCCCTTTTTATAAAGAAGAGGCCCTTTCTGACAGCCCGCCTCCCTGCCATGAGAGGTGGGAGGAATCCATTCATTGCTCAGGCTAGCACTTGCCTGAATGTATCTGGTGGCAATTACGGCCAGGCCTGGGGTGGGGTATTAGTGAAAATGAGAAATCGGCCTCCTTTTTGTTCCATCTGCTGGCAGTGGTTCCAGCACAGAGGGTGCTAACGGTACCACCCTGAATTTTCCCAGTGGCAGTACCCGTCGCTTGCAGGCTCGGCAAAATTCGAATTTACGCTCGTACATTTGGCCTCGGGTGTACTTGTTATGTACCCGATTGAGCTTCAATCCACAACGAATTCACACGTCCCATTCACGCATGCAATTGCAGAAGAGACTCGAAGGAGGCAAATCCACACAAAACCAGAGAGTAGACATGTACAGTGGAAGCTCAAAATACACAGAGAATAGACAAACGAATTTCAATTCTCCAATCTCCCGTCCTCCTCCAATCAATCCGGAGTACCTTTTCCAATGTTCAACGACGTGCATGAAAATATTCATTTGAAACTTTGGACTTTGGAATACTTCAGCAGCCAAGCCTGTATTAAATATTAAACCACCAGTTCACAACTTCACACCAGCCAAAGTTGACGAAGCTACTTTCCAATGCTCACAAAGCTGCAACTGCGCCTTTCCAAAGTGGCCAGCTGCGTTCTCTACCAGCCGAGGCCCGAATCAAAAAGCTCTTACTTAGCGGGTATACCAGTAAGAGCCCTATTCGGCTTTGGGTGAACTGGCGGTTTAATGATTCTTTTACTCGTAGTCATGCCTCGTTGTGAATGCCCCTGAGGCCCAGATGCTGAGGTCTATCCACAATGTATTTTGAGAAGAAAGCAATCAAGCAACCAATCAAACAAAAACACCACCCTCACGCTTTCACGGAAAGATAGCAAGATGTTTGAAGCAGCGGGCCCACTGCACAAAATTACCTTGCACTGTTTCACAGGAAATTGCCCGCTGAAGCAAGACACATCATCTCCTTCTCTCCCACAACACAGTAATTGGCTATGAGGTTCAAGTCAGCGGGCTTACACACGAACTCACCCTCAAGAGGAAGTTGGCCCCTGAAACAAGACAAATCATCTCGTCCTCTTTCTCCAGGGTAATCCCCAGTCTCTCCTTGAACATCTCAGCATACTTGTAAGCTCCACCACCTGTAGCCTGGGCATCCCACCAGTGGAGAATCAGAATCAGTCCTCATTCCATCAATGGTGGGGAAAAATTGAGTCCATTGATCAGGAGCTGCCATATCCCCAACTCCTCAATCCACACTACCTTCAGCAGTGGGAAACTTGTTCACCATGATCATGCAGGAAGGCAAAAAAAAAAACAAAGAAGTATCGTCCTGTTACAAGCAGGCCCCAACCAATCCTCCCTACCACATCCACCAACAGTCCTGTAGTTCTACGGTTTTCTACCTCTACATCAAATCCAAACACACCGTACTCATCTCAGATCAACAGCTCGCCGATGGCCTGTCCGACTACTTCAGCACCATCCTAGAACAGTCGTTTGGGCCCCCACTCAACTCTCCACCAGTATCGGCACCCTGGACAGTCTCTCACAGGGCACTTTGGGCCTGACCTATACTCCACACCACCAGATGCACCACCAGCCTACCGTCACCGAAGGAAAAAGTTTAAAAAACTTAAAAAAAGAGAGTGTGTCTGTAGACTCATGTGCTCCTGAAGCAGGTATGAATATCGGTGTCTGTCAAAGCAGAGGCCCTCAGAAGTCGGGCTAGCGTCCTGCTTGATCCCCTTTGTCGCCAAGAATCCAATCTTTTCTCCTTACTTTTCTCTTTTCTTTCCCTACTGGAAGATCACACATTTGTACAATCAAATACATTTGCACAACAACACAGCAAAATAGATAAGCGTTCTGAGTCTTCCAACTCCGTATGCGACACTCCGACTTGTTTCGCTGTTCGCTGTTGGCATACACCACAGACTTTTCAGGGAGTTCTCTCCTGATACCAGCATCTCAAATGCTCAGCGAGATTCTCATATCGAACATAATAGACTCCGATTACAGCCAGGCAGTGGGGATCCCACCCTCGGCATGAAAACTCGGATCCAGGCCACAAGAGTTTCATGTCGCAGGACGGATGGAAACACAGAAAACATAAATTGCTTATGCCAGGTGACAGCACGAACCCGCAGCTTGCCTAAGGCCATGAAGTGGCATGAACCTTTCAGGCAACACCAGGAGCACTACTGCCTAAAGCATGACAGTACGGGCGGAAACACAGAAAACACCGATTACTTACACCACCTGGACCATCTCCTCAAACGGAGACAGCATGTGGGAATTTCGTCCACAGCAGGGCTGCACCCCCCGACGGCCGGCGGCCCTTGACTGGTCAGCACCTACCTGTCGGGGGTCGTTGGCACCCCGCAAAAACCCCTAATAACACCACCAACACCCCCATAGCGCCCCCCGATAACCTCATACACCCCCCAAAACCGCCCCCAAACCGCCCCCAAACCACCCCCAAACCACCCCCAAACCGCCCCCAGCACCTTCATTACCCCCCCCAATACCCCCTATATCACCCCTATACCCCCTATATCATCCCTATACCCCTTATACCCAACCGCAACCCCCCCTCTTATCCCCCCCTAACCCCCCCATTCCCCCCCCAACCCCAGGGAGTTTTCACCGGAATTGGGTGGCGATCCCCAAAAGCAGGGAAGGCCCCAAATTCAAATTGTAAAAAAAAATACCCGGTTTTTTTTTTTTTTTTTTTTTTTTTTTTTTTTTTTTTTTTTTTTTTTTTTTTTTAAAACCACTAGTACCTCCGAGCCTATTTTCGACAAGTTCTTGCAAGCTCCCGAACTTTCAGGAGGCTGAGCCCGACAACGGCTGCCGTTGATAGCTCTGATCGGCGGCGGCGTTTCGTTTCGGCCTCCTGAAAGGTCGGAGGCCGAGTATTTTTGAACCGACAAAGGTACTAGTGGTTTAACTGGTCGGCAGACTGCCGACCGGTCGGCCCAACTGGTCGGCAGCAATACGGGTTGGCGGTCGGCAGGATGCAACCCTGGTCCACAGTATGAAAATTTCCCCAAGCTTGCACACAAGAGTTCTATGCCGTGGTACTCGTGACAAATCCACCACACAGAATTCGCAGAAGGCAATCCACTTAAAAGTCGAACAGAAATGATATAGAATCATTAGAATGGAATTTTCTCAGAGGACACTACCTCAGAAGAAGAGCAAAACTTCCATAGACGACTATTCGCTCAGAAAAACACCCAAAAGGCAATGCACTATTCACGAATCGAATAACAACAATAGTAAACAAACAAACAACCGCAGGAACCATGTTTTCCGTTATCATTCCAAAACTTACAGTAGCTGGTAACGATCTGGAAAAATCAGTCAAATCAGATAGCCAACCCTGAAAGTACTCAGAAGTCAGGACATACTCACACTGGGACTTTTTCTGCTTCTCTGTGGACGTAATTGCTGTCAGGTGCGTCCATGCCGGGTCGGAAAAGGGGTCATATACATCCAGAAAATTCCTAGTGAGAGTGTATGCCCTCAGAGAGAAGCAGAAGGGAGAGGAGGCCAAGGAGGGGAATTGGGAGGGGGGGAGAGAAATAGAGGAACTGCAGACAGAGCGAGGAAAGCCTCCCAACTTCCCAAGTGAAAAGAATTGCCTGGTTGTACAGAGGGGGGAAAGAAAATATTTAAAAAAAGCCTACTTGTAGTCTTGTACAGAGCAGCTGTCTACCGCTCAATATCTGCCAGCACCGACGCTTCATCTAAAAAGCCTACGTGTACAGGGCTCTTGGTTACGTACTTGGTGTGACATGTGGACTACATACATGTGCAATGTTGGAGCCTGTACTCAAGTGTACGTTCACAAAGACAACAACTAAGACCACATACACCATCACACACATATGTAATCCACATGTCACACCAAGTACATAACCACAACACCATTCATCTAAACCGTCCAACATGTTGCCGTTGAGGAAAGCTCCGAGGACATATTCGATTTCCCGACTGGATCCATGGTCAAGCATTTCAGCCTTTTTGGGCAAATCATCAACATGCCCAAATCTCTAACGGCTGACTTACACCCCCACCACATGTGACTGCCCTCCTCCCCAGATCACCTCTCCTGCCTGCAACATATATTGAGCAGCAACTACCTTCACTTTCTTACCTTTATCGTCGTGCACTTCCCTGCACCATACCCCCAGATGGTGTCTTCTTGGCCATCCAGTCCTGGGAAACATTTACAAAAACAAAAAAACACACAGCTTGGTAAATTCAACAAAGAGGTTTCAGTTGAGAGCTCAAAGGATCCCTTGTGAACCTTCAGAGACTGATCAGCATGTGCATTCCTAGTTCTTTTTTTTTTTTCTTTTTTTTTTGCATTCCTAGTTCTCAATCTATGAGATAGATAAACTGAATTCGCGTGGGAAAAAAAGAAATGAAAACAAAAAGATAAAATTGCTGAACATGTTCGTTCTGCTTTTTTTTTTTCGTAATACTGCAAAAACTTTCATTACTTCATTGGAAAGGAGGGGCCACCCACCCCACATAAAGGCCGGGCTGGGGGGCATTACACAGCGTTATGCTTTTGACGGGACTCGAAGAGGACCTCAAAACTGAAGCTTCACTCTGAAATCATAAACCCTATCTTTTTCCCACTTGCCAAATACCTATGCTTCTACTTCTTAATCTCAAAAGCTCATTTAATAGTACAAGTGGACCCCCCCACGGCTACGCCGTGGCGCACAGCCACACGTGCTAATACCCTGTGTCTCGCTCTCTCCCTCTCTCTCTCTCTCTGTCTGCTCTCTCTCTCTCTCTCTCTCTCTCTCTCTCTCTCTCTCTCTCTCTC